TCTTGCTTTCTGTCTTTCTGTCTCTCTCTTTCTGGTGAGCGCACGTGCCCTATAGCAAAAAAAAACACCTCTACAAAAAAAGAAAAATACCATACCAAATATCTAATAAAACGAATTGAGGCAAGTATTATTAATTGTGGAAAACACTCAATGAATGGTTGCTAGAGAACTGAACACGCAAATGAAGTACCCCCACACAGAACACTGAAGTCATAAGGAGAACACCCACACTGCAGGCGCTGGCTGTCAGCACCAAATCCGGAGGTCAGTTTCGGCATCATGGTAATGAAGGTCGTGAGTTTTCTGATGTGATGCAATATGCAACGGAACACCAACATTGCCATGCATGACTGATTCTTCTGAATAACACAGATTCTTTTTTAAAGAATTATTTTATTTAACTTTATTTGTTATTATTATTTTCTAGTATGATCAGCCAGAGAGAGAAAGCGAGAAAGCAAGCCATCAGGTCCGAGACTTGAACTGTGCTCAGCCATGTGGGAGTGTCTAGCACCTTAACCACCCCGCCACCTGCTGGTCCCCAGGATAACACAGATTTATGAGAAGACCAGCCCTGGTGTCTTGTGGAATGTTTCACCTTTTTAATACCTCTATTTCTTCCTCCTTGTTTTTCAATGTGTCTCTCCATCCTCTGCTTCTCCTGTGAGTTGTAGGCTACATGTAAAGTCCCGAGACCGACAGGAAATAGAGAATGGAGAACAATGCGGCAAACTCAGCATCTCTCAAAACAGTGTGACACACTTAGCTTCTTACAAGAGAAAGCTCAGTCATCTTTTACATTCTTTAGCTCCTTTATAGGGTGCCAACGACTTTCAGTATTACTCAAATCTGTCAGCAAAGGGTCCACCATTCAGACAGTTGAGCTGGGACATCCATCTACCAGGTCACATACAGCACAGTTCTGAAACACACACACTGCTGATATCGGAACAGCCAGCCAGCTCGCCTCGCTACTTCTAACACCCAGGACAGCGCCTATCACTGCCTGACCGACTTGCGTAGGACTAACCCAATGACAGGACTGTCGACCCACGGCTTACGGATGTGTGAAGCCTCACCTTTTCTAAGATAAAAAATAACCCGAAGTACTAACACTTTGTTCCCACACCCCAAAGAATTATCTTATACCGGGACCAGCAGATGGTGTGGTGGTTAAGGGCACTGGACTCTCACATGGCCAACTATGGTTCGAGTCCAGGACCTGGAGGCTTGCTTTCTCACTTTCTCTCTCTCTCTCTCTCTCTCTCTCTCTCTCTCTCTCTCTCTGCCCCTCCCTGGTCAAATGAAAATAAATAAATCAAGCTAAAAAAAAATATTCTTTTTTTTTTTTTGGAGAGGTTTTTGCTATAGGGCGCGTGCACTCGCCAGACAGAGAGAGACATAGAGACAGAAAGTGAGAAATCACCCCCCCAGGGGGGATGGTCACGCCGCAATCCCTTCTCTTCCATTCTCCTCTCGGGATCTTGGGCACGCACGCACACGCACCCGGCGTTGAGTTTTAAGCCACCGGGTCTGGGACGCGAACCGCGGTCAACTACGTGGGAGTCCAGCGACACAGCCATTACACTAATTGCTGGTTCCTGAATAAAATAATTCTTTAAAAAAAAAAAAAGAATTATCTTATGCCCTCTCCTCACCCTATACAAAGTCCTTTTGTGTTCACAAAGAGGAAAGGAAAATAAATCCTTTCATGAACCCAGAAAGGGACTGATAAAGATAAGCAGAGGCCAAATGGAATATTTTTTTAACAGTTCTTTCAACTTTTTTTGTTAACATTACCACGCCAAGTCAATCGCTGAGAAGCCTTCCAATCTCCAAAATTCCTCAGTGACACCAGAAAGGCTATAAAGCTATAGGTCAACCAGACTGCAGTCAGAGCAAAGCTTCACTTCTTTACTCTGACGTTTCATCTTCTGAGGTGTCCATATTTTACATGACATTCCTTTCTTATTATTAATTATTTAAAAAAATTACCCCACAAGAAAGAGAACCAGAGAGAGAGAGAGAAGCACACCCCAACGTGTCTCTATACTGCAATCCACTCCCAGCCTCATCCGAGTGGGATCCCAAGAACACGGCGGAGTGGGCCCAAGTCCAGCACCTGCCCCTACGGCCGAGCACGGAGGAGCACTGCGCTGCCACTGTGCCTCTGCAGTGGGCATTACATTTCCCTTTTCTTTGGTGCTTTTTTCTTTTTTTCAAGTTATTTGCCATAGGGTACAAGCACTCAACAGAGAAAGAACAGAGAGAGAAGAGAGGAAGTGAGAATTCACAACCCTCCCACCCCAGGGATGGCCATGCCGCAATTCCCCTCCTCCTTTCTCCCCTCAGGATTTTGGGCATGCACACATGCACCTGGCGTGTTTTTCAAGCAGCTGAGTCCATGCTCAAACTGCACAGCCAGCCATATGAGATCCAGCCACCTTAACCTCTATGCCATCTGCTGGCTCCTTTTTCCTTCCCTTCCTTTTCTTTTTAAATGCCAGCGAGAGAGAGAAAGCACCCCTAATGGGGAACGGCCACCACCCCACGCCCCCTTCTCCATTTCGCCATCCTGCTGGGATTTGGGAATGTACGCACACATAGTCAACATGTTTTTCAAGCCACTGGCGCCAGAATCCAAACCACAGTTGGCCATGTGGGATCTGACTCCTTTAACCGCTAGGTTAGGAGGCCAGCCCACATCTCCTTTTCGTAGAGAGATTTTCCGGTCCTGCTGTGTCTAGCATCATTACAGCTCCAAACTCTTCCTCTTGCCAGTCAGTCATGGCTGCAAAGGCTCCTGTCACAGCCAAGAGCTGTACTCCTCCCGCCAAGTTGGCTGTAACTGAGCAGAGTAATGAACTTGAGGAAATTTCCAAATTAGCTTGGCTGGCAACTTCCTAACCAATCTAATCAGAACTAACCTGAAAGAGCGAAATCCTGGAAAGAGTTCTGAACAAAAATGCACGATCTGTAGAAACAGACACTCTCGTATGACAAAATACGACCATAAATGACATCCGAAGGCCAGCACCAAGCTGGGAATAAGCCAGTCAATCAACTTTCAGCAAATATGCCAAGGTTTTTTTTTTTTTTTTTTTTTTTTTTCCCACAAGCTGTTAAAAACCAACAGTGATGGGAACCAGCAGTTAGCGTAATGGCTATGTCGCTGGACTCCCATGTAGTCGACCGCGGTTCGTATCCCGGACCCGGTGGCTTAGAACTCATGCTGGGCGCATGTGCGTGCGTGCCCAAGATCCCAAGAGGAGAGTGGAGGAGAAGGGATTGCGACATGACCATCCCCCCTGGGAGGTGATTTCTCGCTTTCTGTCTCCATGTCTCTCTCTGTCTGTCTGGCGAGCGCATGCGCCCTATAGCAAAAACCTCTCCAAAAAAAGAAAAAAAAAACAAAACCAACAAGTGATAACATTTTATAAGAATGATTTATTTCTAAAAATGATCAAGTGTTCTATTTTGTTATTATTGTTGCTGAAGATTTTTGCCTCAAAATATGTACTCTCTTCAGAGGGGGAAAGTGAGAAGTCACCCCTCCTCCCCCAGAGGGAAGGCCACATGGCAATCCCTTCTCCTCCAATCTCCTCTCAGCATTTTTGGGCATGCACACATACACACCAGGTGTTTTTGTTTCTGGTCACAGGATCCAGGACTCAAGCTGTGAAGTCAGCCAGGTGGGATCCAACACCTTAACCTCTGTGACACCTGCTGGCCTGGCCCCAAGTGTTTTGTACTTTTTGTTTTGCTTTGTTTTTAAATATTTTTTGCCATAGGGAATGTGCATTCTCCCGGGAAGTGGGGAGTGAGAAATCACCCCCTGGGGGATGGCCATGCCCTAATTCCTTCAGTCTCTCCTTGGGATTTTGGGCATGTACACATAGGTAGCCCACCTGGTGTGTTTTTCAGGCCACCAGGTCCAGGACTAGAACCCGTGGAGCTGGCCATTAACCACCCAAACCTTAACCACCGTGACACTTGCTGGCCAAAATGTTGTTTTTAAGAGAACTCTGGGGCTGGCAGGTGGTGTGGTGGTTAAGGATACTGAACTCTCACATAGCCGACAGCAGTTCAAGTCCCGACCTGGTGGCTTGCTTTCTCTGTCCCTCTTACTCAAATTAAAATAAATAAAGTTAAATAAAAGATATATTTAAAAAAGAGAGAGAGAGAACCCTGAATTCCCATCATGCCCAACACCATCTCTGGAGGGCTCTTCATGCCACTGACGTAACCAGGCCTGGACCCTCAGAACTCTATCATCTTGGAGACCACGTGAAGGACCAGAGACAGGTAAGTGACCAGAAGCAGGCCAGGCCGCACGCCAGTTTCAGCTTCGTGAGCTCTGCTCGGGGAACCATATATGATGAACTCACTGCCTGCCAGCCAGAGTTTCTCAGGACAGTGTGGAGGCAACTCCCCAAGCAAGGGTTGGCATTGCTCCTATTACACTACAGGCTGTTTCCCGAGGGCTCCCTCAAATGCTTCACGAACCCCAAGAATTCTGGATGTATCCTTTTCTCTATACAGCTGTCACGATGTACTCTAACCTACGGGATCCCTCTCCCTAGTGATGGCCAAGCAATGAGACCAACTGGCCCACCTGACACCTTCATCTCTCTAGACTCCACCTATTCTTGTTGAACACGACAATTTTGATAACTGATGTACTCAAAATCCACTGGGGCAAACAGGACTGTTTTTCTCTACAACTGGTAAACTGTCCCTTTTTTTCCTTAAGTTATTTTACTTGACTTTGTTTGTTTATTTGAAGTTGACAAGAGAGAGGGAAAGGGAGAGGGAGAGAGAGACAGAGAGAAAGCAGGTCGCCAGGTCCAGGACTTGAACCGTGTCGGCCATGTGGGAGTCCAATGCCCTTAACCACCACGCCGCCCCTGCCATCCCCTAATTGTCCATGTTTAAAAAGTGAAATAGGCTTTTGCTAAGATGCCGTCACCAGCCCAGGAGGAAAGCTGCCGGCCACTTACCATGTAACAGCCCACCAGGAACGCAGCGTTCGCTTGTTTTCTCTGATCAGAGCCAGTAAAGTGAATAATTTTCTTCCTTAACATTGTAATGGACTGAACAAAAATAAATAACGGTTAGTACCTTCTTTGGAATTTCGAATTTTCTAAGCTTTTATTATGTGAGGAAGATCAATTCCAAATGTCTCAACATAGAAGCATTCACACACTAATAAGACCTTGGAAAAGATTTAAGCTGACACCCCAAAATACCAGGTACCTTCCCACAAAAGACATATTCTGGGGTTAGAATGAACATACAACTAAAGAAGAGAGGAGGGGACATGAAGCGATACTTGGGAACTCCCCCCCCCCAAAAAAAAAAACTTGTGGAAAAATGGAATTAAAGTACAGGTTTATTTTGGTGGGGAAAGAAACCAAGAAACCTCTGAAATCCATATAGTTTTTTCATAGCATGTATCTCCACACATTTTCTGAAGGTCCCTTGCTATGTCTAAGGCATACACCACCTCTGAAAGAATACATAAGAAGCTGGAAAAGGTGAAGGGATAGGCTGTTTCTTCCCCTACTGTTTTACTGTGTCCCATTTGTGAAAATCCTGAGCTATACACTCAACTCTGAAAATAATTCAGGGCCTATATTATACTTCAAAAAAAGGTTAAAGAGAAAAAGAAAGAAAGAGAGAGAGAGAGAGAGGGAGAGAGAGAAAGGGAGGGAGGAAGGAGAAGGAAGGAAGGAAGGAAGGAAGGAAGGAAGGAAGGAAGGAAGGAAGGAAGGAATAGGATTACCCCATAGCCTGGTAGTAAAGAGAGCTGGATATCACATGACTGACCATGGTTCAAGTTCCGCCCCAGCGACATGAAATACACACCAGGTGCATGTGCGTGCATACTCAAAATTCCAACAGGATGGAGACACGGAGGAGGAGAAGGGACTGTGGTCTGAGCTCCCCCCCACTGGGGTTGCATTCTCGCTCCCCCCTCTGACAAGTAAACCATGCCCTCTAGCAATTAAACAGAAAAAAAAAAGATAAAAATAAAAAGAACACAGAATTTAAGGATAAAAGGAACACATGAATAGTTGGCACTTCCTAGCTATTTCTGACGAATATGAGTACAAATAAATTCAAGAAAGGTGAAGGAACATCCTATATTCAGTAAGTTCCATTCAATAAGCTTCCGGAAGCCAGTGTTTCAGTGTTCCAGCATTCTAATACCCCAATGATGAATGTATACATCTTTTCTTTTAGCTCCTTCTCTGGGCTAAGAGATCCAAGCTGATTAAAAACAAAAATGAAATCCTACCAACACAAGAACAAGAGAGTCTCCATCCCAGCTACTGTCAGTAGAGTTTTCACTATTAAAGAGGCAGGAAGTTCAGTCAGGGTGGGTGGTCAACAATCTACATCTTGTTCTTGTAAATGATTAAAAGGAAACACACACACACACACACACACACACACACACGAGGGACTGATATATTTTGGGTTGACCCAAAAGATAAAAGTCCTCAGACAGCTGAGTAAGAAGGGGAAAAAACATCTTCCAAAATTAAAGCAAAGGAACAAAAGTGGGAGGGAGAGGGTATTATTTTAGCTCCCTGGCCCTGTATGGAACAAAAGACCTGCCACTGGCAACTGGAAAAAAAAAGGGGGGGGGAGGGGACAAATACACAGGCCATAAATGTTCATACTCCTATCTAAGGGAGCCCAGAAAGAAGAATGGGTCTCCGTCTACACGAAGTTGTAGTGAGTGTGGTTTTGATGCTCTCAGGGAAAACAATCTGCATTACTTGCCTATAACATTCTAATTAAATGAATATTTTAATTAAAAATAAACTGTATGTATTTCGTGGAGCAGTTTGATAGATAATCAAATGAATAAAGTTGTTTTTAAAAATGACTGTGGGCCGGCCCTATAGTGTAGCAGTTTAGCCCCATGTAAAGGGAGTCAGAGCCCACACAGCCAACCATGGTTTGAATCCCGACAGCCCAAGGCTGGAAAAATATAGCAGATGTGTGTGCACGCACATACCCACAATCCTCCCCGGAAGAAGAAATGGGGGGAAAAGGACGGCAACGTGACCACGCCACACTGGCGGTTCCTGCTCCCCCTGGCAAGTGCCCACTAGCAATGAAAAAATAGGACTGGCCCAGACTGCAGTATTTTCTACATTAGAATTTAGAGTGAATATTTTGGAATTGCTAGCAAGCAGTACATAAAAATTTCTTGTACATACCCGACAATTCAAAGTTTTCTTTCTCCTGGTCCTACGTAGGGGTACTTTTTATATCTATGCTCATGAATAGATTGTCCTGTAATTTATTTTTCTTTCATTGTTCTTGTTTAATTATTTATTATTATTATTTAGAGAGATTTTTGCTACAGGGCACATGTACTCATCAGAGAGACAGAGAGAGAGAAAGCGAGAAATTACCCCCAGGGGGAAGGCCATGCTACCTTCTCTTGGGATCTGGGGCATGCATGCACACAAGCCTTGTGTGCTTCAAGCTGCCAGGTCTAGGATGCAAACTGTGGTCAGCTACGTGCGAGTCCAGCACCTTAACCACCATGCCACCTCCTGGCTCCAGATCTTGCTTCATTTCTTAATAGTTTATTTATCTCTCTCTTTTTTTTTTTTTTTTTTATAGGTTTTTGCTATAGGGTGCGTGCGCTTGCCAGACAGACAGAGAGAGACAGAGAGAAAAAGAGGAATCACCCCCCAGGGGGGATGGCCACGCCGCAATCCCTTCTCCTTTGTTCTCCTTTCGGGATCTTGGGCACGCATGCACACTCACCCGGCATGAGTTTTAAGCCACTGGGTCCAGGACGCGAACCGCAGTCGACTACGTGGGAGTCCAGCGACATAGCCATTACGCTAACTGCTGGTCCCTCAAAGTTTTAAATAAATGAACAGGGTCTCCATTCAAACTAACAGAAAGCAAACTTTTGTAAGTTTCAGGGATCCTGCCTCAAGGCTCATGACCGGCTGCTCAGGGTTCTTCCTCCTCAGTGTAAGAGGTCACGGTGAAGCAGCTCGGCTAGTACAATACCATGGGGTTCCCAAGCAGAGAGAGAGCCTAGTCCGTTCTCCTGTTACTTGGCGAGCACGCCCCATCACAATGGAGGCAGAAAGCGCGATGGTTCCATTAGGTCGGACGGTATGAGGTTCACTTAACGAACCGATGTCCACTCTGGCTTTTCAAGTATTTGAGCATCATTAGTTCAAACCAGACTAAATGACCCAAACTTCAATTGTGCAAGCAAAACTCTAGAAAACAAATACAGACACTAGACTTCCTAAGACAAAAAGAACACGTGTATGTCCCAACCAGTACAGCAGTAAAAAAACATGGCATATTCTTTTTCTTTTCTTTTCTTTTCTTTTCTTTTTTTGCCCCAGGCTGAGTGTGTGCTCCCTGGAGACAGAGGGAAAGTGAGAAATGACCCATTCACCCCTCCCACCCCGGGGGAAGAGGGGGAAGACAGCCAAACTGCGATCTCTTCTCCTTCATGCTCCTCTCCTGGACACGCATGCGCAGACACCTGGCGGGATTTTCAGGTCACCAGTCCGGAGCTTGAACCCCAGTCAGCCACGTGGGAGTCCAGTGCCTCAGCCACTATGCCATCTGCTGGCCCCATAGCACTTTCTTTTCAAAAACTGTTTTGTTTTCCCCCAAGATCAAGATAACAATGATTACTGAAATCAAATCTTAACTTAGAAAGACTTTACCTTTAATTTCTTATTTATCTTGCAACAGTATCTGTAAACCATTGCCAAATTAAGTGGTCCAAAATCTGCGTAGAAGCTTTAAAAATGAAAAACAAAAATGTGTAACATTCTCGATGCTCTGAATACCGATGCTTCTGGGGGAGGGTAACAAAAGCAAATGTAGACAAGAAAGCGTACATACACCACATTACTACGGCCCTTGCAATGCAATAGTACTGCCTTACTAATGAAAGAAATACTCTGATAAGCAAGGCCTATTAAAAAAACGCCACAAGTGCTACCTTGCCTCAATATAACCTCAATAAATATGAAAGTACCTTCTAAACTTAAAAAGGCTGTTTTCCACATAGTTTACCCACTGGCAAAAATGCAGAATCTTGTACAAGTTTATATCTCACTGTATAAATTATTACAATATAAAATCTAAGTGTTTCTGTTTAGGAAAGTTCTTCCATTTTAATGTTTTCACCTACAGATCTATATTATTACCAAAGGTTTTAAAAAAGCATTCTGCAACAAGCAATCCACAAGTATATCATTTTCCAAAGTTAACTTACTTATACACAAACCTTTAGATTCTTCAAAATAAAAGTTACTAGCGATCTTTTAGAAAACGATACTTACTTCTCATATTCAAGTTCATTATCTATGCAGAAATAATGTACATTTGATGCACTCTTTGGTCTGCTGTAGAGAATGGCAAAACAAAGGCGATCTGAAATGGAAAAATTGCAATGTTCTTTTCTTCAGGTTATTAAAAAACGTTTCGTGTATCATGATGCAACTTTTTTTAGATGAAGTTAAATTTTAATTTTTTTCCATGAATATTTAGGAGGGGAGGGATGGCAAGGAGTTATTTCAAACTATTCTGGCTGTTTTAGTAGGTAATAAGAAACAAGCAAAAATACTAAGGGAGAAATTGCCTTTAAGCTACAGCAGTGGTTAAAGTGGCTTTTCGAGTCATGATAGTTTGGTTTCTGAAGGAACCGCTCATAGAACTTCAGTGCCCCCGGGACTAGAACCTTCCAGCAAACGGCAGCAGATGTCTGCCTATCCATCAATCTCCTATTAAGCTCCTAGGTGCTTCTCATCATGCTTTCAAGACATCCTAAAAACTCGTTTCAGGAAGAAACCATTTCCTAAGAGAAAGAACACTTTGAATACTACATCAAAACTGCCGTTCACGGCTATAGAACACAACAGAACAAACCATATGTTTACCCAACTGTTCTTCGGCTCGCTACTTTATTTGATTTGGAATCACTACTTTGGTATTTTTACAATGATGACAAATTACCCCTACAACAGAAGCAATGCGAGGTTTCTGCACGAGGAGGCAGAAATGCAGTGAGGCCGCTGTGACTCTTAGCGAGGAAGGTTAGGCGTGGCGTCGGGGGCCCCTGTCCTTCCACCCCCGCAACACGTGGGACCTAAAACTGCCCTGCAGAAGTTGACAGCAGTAGTATCAGCAGCGCTGGGATCTTTACTCTCAGACGTGGCGGACTCACGCGCGGCTTCCTATGTGCACACTCCGCAGCAGCAGCCCATGAGCTGGGAGTGTGGACGCCAGCCGGCAGGCTTGCCCCAGATGGCAGTTTCAACACTGTTTCAGTCTGCAACTCGGCTGCGCGTTATTTCCTCGTAAACTTCTCAACTAACATTTCTTGCGACCACAAACCACCCACCGGGTGACAGCGCATACTCCTTTCCAACCACAGACGCCCTTTGATCCCCAGGGCCAATGCCCTGGAATTTTGCTCCCGGGTGCAGAGGCGAGGCTCACCCCACCAGGCCCAGGTGTCTACACCACGGCGCACAGAGGCACAGGTTCGCTCCACACCAGCCACCGCCCGCCGCCCGGTGAGGAGCCACCCACGCGCATGAGACAGCACGGGTCCCGGCCCCCAAGTTGAAAGGCAGCGCCCCAGCACAGACGCTGGGGCTCACAG